TTATAATGCTTTTTTACAAAACTAAAAACTGTACAACAAGCTTACCCCTTCATCTCAACGGCACGCTGACATGTGAACGCTGACATTTTCTTCTTTGTTTTCTAATGGATCGCAACAAAACTTACACATTACCGCCACCAACTGTGGAGCATAAACCAATAGCTACTACAACACACAGGTGATACTAAATAAACCAATCAAAATCCTCTGGAAGTTTGTACAGCCCACTTGCGGCTAAAGCTCCACCTACTTGCTGCTAACCCACCCATTTGCAGCTGGCTCCGACCTCCGTTTATACCCTACTCGATGTGGGCATTGTCATGGCTTGCCTCGACATTTGCGTTTGAATAGCGCGCGTCCTCCGTGGGCGTGTCAGATTAACGCGTAATGAAGTGTAATGAGCTGGGGAAAAAAATACTGACAGCACTCTCTTTTCATACAGATTGCATAAACTGAGAATATTTGTTTTTTTAATATAAATTACTTCATTTAAAAGAAGAGAATTAAAGCTTCATAAAGAAAAACCTCTCGTGCCTGTATGACAAGTAGGCCTAATCGCGGAGTTACAGTTAATCTTAGGACGCGTTTCAGAATGGACTTCACTGACAGAGAGAACGCAGAACTCGCATCATGTTTGTTTTTCTTTATTTGGTGAAAAGCACAACACTTTGTTTTTATTGTGAGTATCCACAAAAAAATAGAAACTTAACAGGATCGATTGATGTATAACATTTGCCTGTATGACAAAAATCGACTGAGTTATTTGAGTCTCTTTTGCACTGATAAGAAAAAAAGCGAGCAGATCACGCCGGCGTGATTGCAGACCCCAGAGGGTTAAAGGGAACATATCATGAAAATCTGACTTTCCCGTGTGTAAGTGCTGTAATCGTGTGCTTCTACCGACACAGAGAACGTGTAAAGGGAAACTTTAGATTTTGAGATTCTGGCGTATGAAGAGGATCTTATTATAATATTCCCGGCCCTTAATCTGCACGTTCACACACACCAGCGACATTGGGTTCGGCGAGCGCCAACAGAGACCAGTTCTAACGCACTGGAGAAGATCCAGCAAAGCCTGAAACTGTTCTGTGGTCGAGCACAGACGACACTGAACACTATTGACCAGAACATGTCAGCGCTGTCTTATAAACACCTCAGGAACTGTGGACACTTGTGGAAGAGTTCAACATGATGAGGAGATGATCAGTGTAACTCCACAACAACTACACAAATGTCTCCGCTAACATTCAGAAACGTGTAAAAGTGAAGCTCTCCCTGAGTCTCTCCGTAAGGCTGCACTCGCTGCTGTTACTCCTGACTCTGGATCAGTGAGATCGGCCTGTGTTGTTATTGCCGGAGTCTCTGAAGCTCCGCCCTCTTCTGAACGGAGGCGGAGCTAAAGCTCATTTGCATTTAAAGGGACACACACACAAACAGAGTTTTTGCTCACTCCCAAAAAGGGCCAAATTTAACAAGCTATAATAAATGATCTGGTATTTTGAGCTGAAACTTCACACACACATTCTGGGACACGAGAGATTTATACATCTGGTGAAAAGAGGCGTAATATGTCACCTTTAAGTCAGTCATAATGGTGTGAATAAGTGAAAATCTTTATTGATGACATGATTGTGTTGAGATGGAAAGGCTCTGTTGCCGGTCAGTGTGTGTGTCTCTCTCTCTCTCTCTCTCTCTCTCTCTCTCTCTCTCTCTCTCTCTCTCTCTCTCTCTGTTATTCCGGCTCTAATGCTCCGAGTCTCATTATTCCCTCTCAGGATCAGCAGGGTTTCACCCTCCTCTGTTAAGGCAGCACTTCTCTCTCAATCAGAGACGCTGTCCTCGATCCGGCCATTTCATCTCTCTCTCTCTCTCTCTCTCTCTCTCTCTCTCACACACACCGCTTTAGACACAGCCTGAGATGGAAGTGAAAGAGAAAATCACTAGGTTTCCGTCTTTGCAGAATATCAAGCTCTCATTTAAAAGTTTTAAATTCGGATATTTTACAATAGCGCAGCGCCGAAGTGCTCGATTGTTCTCGCTCTCGAATCCTTTCATCCGCAGTCACACTCCTGAGGGAAAGAGCCGAACGCCACGGGGAGCGGGAGAACAGCGGCGCGTTTACAACCGTACAGACGGCTCCGTCTCTAACACACGTGTCCAACACTGATAATACTCATAACTCAGCGTCAGATCCTCATATTAGAGTGATTTCTGAAGGATCATGTGACACTGAAGACTGGAGTAATGATGCTGAACATCAGCTTTGATCACAGGAATAAATTACACTTTACTGTATATTCACATAGAGAACAGCTGATTTACACTGGAGTAATATTACACTGTTTTACTGTATATTCACATTGGAATAATATTTTCACAGACAATAGTGTATATTTAACAAACTACACTCAAATTAATATTTAATATCCATTTTTTAAATGTGCAATACAGATTACAGGGAATTCTGTGTTTATTTTGCAATAATATATCTGATGTATTGGTGTCAGTCCTCAGCCGCACGTATCCCATAATGCTTCAGTGTGTGTGTGTGTGTGTGTGTGATCAGGTTATTGTGTGATCTCTCTCTCTCTCTGTGTGTGTGTGTGTGTGTGTGTGTGTGATCATCAGGTTATTGTGTGATCTCTCTCAGTGTGTGTGTGTGTGTGTGTGTGTGATCAGGTTATTGTGTGATCTCTCTCTCTCTGTGTGTGTGTGTGTGTGATCATCAGGTTATTGTGTGATCTCTCTCAGTGTGTGTGTGTGTGTGTGTGATCAGGTTATTGTGTGATCTCTCTCTGTGTGTGTGTGTGTGTGTGTGTGTGTGATCAGGTTATTGTGTGATCTCTCTCTCTCTCTGTGTGTGTGTGTGTGATCATCAGGTTATTGTGTGATCTCTCTCAGTGTGTGTGTGTGTGTGTGTGATCAGGTTATTGTGTGATCTCTCTCTGTGTGTGTGTGTGTGTGTGTGTGTGTGATCAGGTTATTGTGTGATCTCTCTCTCTCTCTGTGTGTGTGTGTGTGATCATCAGGTTATTGTGTGATCTCTCTCTGTGTGTGTGTGTGTGTGTGTGTGTGTGTGATCAGGTTATTGTGTGATCTCTCTCTCTCTGTGTGTGTGTGTGTGTGATCATCAGGTTATTGTGTGATCTCTCTCAGTGTGTGTGTGTGTGTGTGTGATCAGGTTATTGTGTGATCTCTCTCTGTGTGTGTGTGTGTGTGTGTGTGTGTGTGATCAGGTTATTGTGTGATCTCTCTCTCTCTCTGTGTGTGTGTGTGTGTGTGATCATCAGGTTATTGTGTGATCTCTCTCAGTGTGTGTGTGTGTGTGTGTGTGATCAGGTTATTGTGTGATCTCTCTCTGTGTGTGTGTGTGTGTGTGTGTGTGTGATCAGGTTATTGTGTGATCTCTCTCTCTCTGTGTGTGTGTGTGTTTGTGTGTGTGTGTGTGATCAGGTTATTGTGTGATCTGGACGCTTTTACTCCCACGGTTTGGGTAAAACTGCTCACTTTCACACACAGCGACTGGGAAACGAGCAGCGCTGACATCTGATGCGATTATGATGAATATGAGCGTATTGTACATGAACTCAATCTGCTTTTAATGGAGTCCTTCATCTAACAGAGCAGATCGTGCTATCACATTATAATCTGATCTCAGGCTTGTTAAAGATGAAGTGCAGTGTGTTTCCCTCAGGACGATGGAGATGTGAGATGCACAGTTCACATTAACAGTCTGTTCTCAGTCTTTGTCTTGTTAAAGGCGAGTGTGTGTCGTCACTGCAGGAATGGAGAGCTTGGTTTGAGCCTGTGTTAATGATTAATGTGCGCCGTGAGTCTGTTAAACTCTCTCCTCTAGTGGATCCTCACACGCTTCTGATTAAACGCTGTTTCCAAACCCTTGTTTTAATCTTCAGCCACACATGCACAGAATAAAGATGAGCGCTCGCTTCATTTCCCTGTGCTTTAGCAGCTCGTGTTGTAATACACCCGCTCCGCGTGAACAGGTGTGTGTGTGTGTGTGTGTGTGTGCGGTCGGCTCGTCTGAAGAGGAGAAGCAGGTTAAGCTCCTCGGTTCCTCATCAGGAACATCAGATTGCCTTCGCGTCGTGAACACGAGAGCTGTACAGCCAAATCCCACAGAAATGGTGCTCAAATTGAGCCCGGAATGGAAATTGATCCCATTACCAGAGCTGGCGTTCCCGAGGGAGTCGAGCGCGAGCCCGTCTGAGGAATCCAGCTCGGATTTACACACGCTTCGAGAACAGGCTTTATTCTGTTACCAGCGCCACAACTGGGGGAATCTCACAAACACCAGTGGATCATATATGAAAGAAATACAAATTATGTTTTGCATTAAAATTTTTTTTTATTAAACAACAAATTGTTTAATGCAACAAAAAAAAAAATATTCTCATTCAAATAAAAATACATTGTCATGAAAAGAATGTCACAAATATCCTAAAATTGCTCCTTCATTTGCTTAAGCAAAATATAATTTCTTAATATTTATTCTTTAACCAAAATGCAATGATTCCTCCTGTGTTGCATCTTTCAGATCTCATGCATGACATCAGTTTATATCTCATTTATTTATTAAAGAAAAGTTGTATGTCATTCTGAATGAGGTCCTCTGATATCATAGTATTACATTCAAAAGCTTTTATGCTTTCACAATGCCATCATTCCCCGGTGTGACGTCGCCCAGATGTCATGTGACCCTCGACTCGAGCTTCAGTGTGTTTAATACAGGCAGCACAACGGTGTCCAACACTGATAATACTCATAACTGAGCATCAGATCCTCATATTAGAGTGATTTCTGGAGGATCATGTGACACTGAAGACTGGAGTAATGATGCTGGAAATACAGGAATAAATTACACTTTACTGTATATTCACATAGACAACATTGCAATAATATTTCATTTACATTCTAATTGTTGCTGTATTTGTATTTCTTGCATTTGGAAGCTGTGTATTAAAGCAACGCTCCTGCTTCAGATCCCATGCACGGCCCTCGGAGACTCCAGGTCGTGGACATCAAGTCCAGGCAGTTCACGATCCGCTGGGAGCCGTTCGGATACAACGTGACGCGCTGCTACAGCTACAACCTGACGGTGCAGTACCGCTACACGGCCAGCGCTAAAGAGGAGACGCGCGAGGAGGTGTGTTACGATACGCCGAGTGTGCCGCCGCAACACACCATCCGCAGCCTCCCGCCGTACACCAACGTCAGCATCCGACTGCTCCTGCGCAACCGCGAGGGCGTGAAGGAGAGCGACGAGCTGCGAGTGCTGACCGACGAGGACGGTACGACTGCCTTTACTTTACACACCTTTTTACTTTACTATATTAGCATTTCAGGGCCCTAGGGAATCTCTTATTTCCCCCCAGATTCTGTGTGTGCTGTTGAATTCTTTCTGGATTTTTTCAATATTTAACTTAAATGTTTATTGTCTAATCAATTTAATTCATAACACATTAATTATTTATTTGTTTTATATTTTTACTGTCATTTTTTTAATTTTCTACCTTTTCTAATTTTTCACAAATTCCAAGTTTTATTTGTCGTCATTCTATTTTAATGGTAAAACAAATTTTTTATCAAAAAGCATGTCTAATTAAGTCTAAAAACGTAAGAAGTTTAACAACACTTGTCTTATTAAAAGTTTAAGTGGCCCTTTAAAAAAGTGTTTTTGTTTCTTAAATTCCGTTTTAGTTTTCCTAATTTCTGTTATCTGTTTTAATTTTCCTGGATATTAATCTTTTTTTTTATAGTTTGCTAACATTTTAATAATCAAAAATCATGTCACTTCAAATCAGTTGAATTGATAAAAAAAATTAACTGAACAAATGAATGAATTGTTACTGTAAAAAGGCCTTATGAAATGTTTCCTTTTTTCAGAAATTGTGCCATCTGGGTTTTTTTCTGGATTTATGATTTACTGTTAAAGTTAATTTGTTTAAAGTTATTTTGAGAAGCACATTCTACTGTTCAATAGTAATATATTTCTGCCATAATTTCTTCAAGCTAAACCAAACTTTTATTTTGGCGGGTTGCGGTGAGGAGCTGCGAGTTTGTGTTTCTGCCGATACTTTCCTCACATTTCAATTCAATTCAATTAATTAATGGATAGACCCTTGAGATCCAACATCTCATTTTCAAGAGGGTCCCAATACACATATACATAATACAACAGGAAAAACAAAAAAACAATGAAATGGTGAAACTGGAGATGAAGTTATATTAAGAGTTTATATGATCTTTTATTAAAAAAAAGTAAAAAAAAAAATGTATTTAGGCTCCAGCCTCAGACGTGATTCTAGTTTAACTGATTACATTTTCTTGGTCTTTTGAATTATATTTTAATAAAGCCATTGAAAACACAGTGTTCATCAGGGAAGAGGTCGTGCGGTCTACATCATGAACGGCTTGTTCGTGTCGAGTTTCGGTGTCGTTTCTCCGCACAATAGTTTCACGAGGAGCGCTTGGAAACACAAGCTGTCCCGGCCGAAGAGAAGCCTGGGTCTCTCAAGCGCTTCCTTATTCCTGTTGAGGAACTGATGGATGATCCTTCTCACGCTTGAAGGCGTTTGGAAATAAGTTCTTTATTGAATACAAGAGAATATTGATTTGAAATAAGTCAGTGTCTCTTTAAATCAATACGTGTCTGATCAGCCAGTGTGTGTGTTCCAGTGCCCGGCGCCGTCCCGCTGGAGTCGGTCCAGGGAAGCACGTTTGAGGAGAAGATCGGCCTCCGCTGGAGAGAGCCGCTGCAGACCTACGGGGTCATCAAGCAGTACGAGGTGAGTCTCGGGTCCGTCACCGCGCGCTCTTCACCGATACAGCTGAAGTGTCCACGCGGGAGAGATCAAGAGCCGCGGGAATCTCCTCCACATCTCAGATCTGATCTCAGCGGATCCACATGTGTTTATACAGTCCAACCACACATCATCAGACACCAGATATAAGATTTGATATTTCACTAATGTGATCAGGACACTATAGTTCATTTATGTAAGTGAGGAGAGCAAAATAAAGTAAACTGTGACATATTACACCCAAATATTCTGCATACCAGTCTAATTTATAAAAATTCGGGAGCAGAAATGATTCCTCCACTTTGAGCTGATCATGTTCTGCTGAAGTGTGTTTTCTGTAATTGCTAATGCTCTTTTTACACACACACTGAACAACATGAAGCATTGCTTGGTCACTGGTTGAGCTAAACTGGTATTATCTAATTGTGTAGTTAAAGGGATACTCCACTTTTTTTGGAAATAGGCTCATTTTACAACTCCCCCAGAGTTAAACTGTTGAGTTTTACCGTTTTTGAATCCATTCAGCCGATCTCCGGTTCTGGCGGTACCACTTGTAGCATAGCTTAGCATACATCATTGAAGTGGACAAGACCATTAGCATTTCTCAAAATAAATTGACCAAAGTGTTTCGATATTTTTCCTATTTAAAACTTGACTCTTCTGTAGTTACATCGTGCACTAAGACCGACGGAAAATGTAGAGTTGCGATTTTCTAGGCTGATATGGCTAGGAACTATACTCTCATTCCTGCGTAATAATCAAGAAACTTCACTGCCGTACCAATAGAGCAGCAGGCGTAATGATATGACGCAGCGCCTGAAAATAGTCCCCAGCTCGGTAACTTCCAGCGTGACCGGGACTAAGTGCCTGCGCCTGCTGCACTCATGGTACGGCAGTGAAGTTTCTTGATTATTACGTTTTAAATAGGAAAAATATCGAAACTCTTTGGTCATTTTTTTTTTAGAAATGCTAATGGTCTTGTCCACTTCAATGATGTATGCTAAGCTATGCTAAAAGTGGTACCGCCAGAACCGGAGATCGGCTGAATGGATTCAAAAACGGTAAAACTCAACAGTTTAACTCTGGGGGAGTTGTAAAATGAGCCTATTTCCAAAAAAAGTGGAGTATCCCTTTAAATTTACCAGCTGACAGATATTCAACATAATTCATGTGTGAGAGTCTAACAGAAGGACGGACAAAACCAGTCAAATATCCACTGAGTTCTGCTCATGTTTATCATCATGTATAGCGAATACACTGAGATAATGTGAGGATTGTTGAAGGAGTCTGAGTGAACGCTGGTCTGCTGGATCTCTCGACTCGCTCTCGATGACGGCTGCGTCTCGCTAGTGTTTCTCAGAGGAATATCTGTGGAAGAGCAAACGCTGAGCTCTTGTTCTCCGTGTTTCAGTGTTTCAGTGGAAGACTCCTGCATTTGTAGGGCACTGGAATAACAAACAGAAGCACATACCGGAGCGATGGCCTCACGGGAATGTGGGAAATCTCAGGCGAGAGGAAACATGTTTCCTTTACGGGAAACAACAATCATGATCCTGAAGTGAAGATAGTTCATAACGGCTCATTACATGTAAATCATGGAAATATGTATCATCTTTGATCAGAAAACTGAACAACATTTGATCAAACTTTGATAATTTCCTTAATCTTTTAACTGAGAAGATCGAACTATATTTAAAGTCCTGTAGTCGATCATTTTAAAATAAAAAAGGTCATGAAAATAATGTCACAATACAAAACATCTTAATGCTCCACAAAAACGCATTTCTTTAAGTAAATATGACTTCCTAATATTATTTTGAAACGAACTGCGAGGATTCCTCCGTCAGATGCCGGTGTGTGTGTCCATTATTGAAGCGCACGGTGTGTTCGTGTGCGACGGGACATTGTGTGTCGGTTTTGTGAGTATTCCAGAGGCGTGTGACTCATTCTGTGCCGAGAAACTCTGAACAATGCGCCGCTCAAAACACTCATTGTTGCAGAACTTCATTTGTGGAAATTCAAGCAATTAAGCTGTCACGTTCCTGTAATGAAATTACACTGTGTCATCGCCGGGCTGAGGACGTGTCAGGCTGCGATCCGGAGGGGCCGAGCCGAAGCGCTCCGCCTCATTAGAGTCTTCAGGACACGCGTGTGTGTGTTTCGCCCCATGCAGTGATGAGGTGTGTGTTCTGTCACACTCATGAGCTTTTGCTGCTTGTCATTTGGCGCAGTCGCCCCAGAGCATTCTGGGTAAAGTGCTCTGCTCAGGAACACAGTAATGATGAGATCACAGTAAATGCCCTGTTCTGGGGTCAGACCTTTATCAACTACACATGGATGTTTTTTGTATTTCACATGTGTCTTATTTTTTTTAAAGTGCCCCTATTATGCATTTTCTGGATATTATCTTTCATGCAATGTGTAATAATGTAGCTAATTAGCATAATGTCGGCCACTGGTGTTGATTGGCTGAGCAGCGTCTCTTAGCCCCGCCCTCAAACACTGTAGTGTATCTGAGACTGGAAGAGTTCGGCTCGTGTTGTTCGTGTCGAGAAGACGCTGTTTTCTGAGATCGAGACGGTAAACCCACGCCATCGTTACTGTTCGTATCACTGTGATCAAGAGCTGAGAGTCAGATATGATAATGAGCGTTTGCTCTCTGACCAATCACAGCAGAGCAGCTCTCAGAGAGGCGGGGCTTAGAGACTGAATCTGCACAGAAGCGTTTCAGACACAGAGAGGAAAGAGCTGAAGCTGCAGTGGAGATTATGAGGACATTACAGTGTTTCTGACCAATCACAGCAGAGCAGCTCTCAGAGAGGCGGGGCTTAGAGAGACTGAATCTGCACAGAAGCGTTTCAGACACTGAGAGGAAAGAGCTGAAGCTGCAGTGGAGATCATGAGGACATTACAGTGTTTCTGACCAATCACAGCAGAGCAGCTCTCAGAGAGGCGGAGCTTAGAGAGACTGAATCTGCACAGAAGCGTTTCAGACACTGAGAGGAAAGAGCTGAAGCTGCGGTGGAGATTATGAGGACATTACAGTGTTTCTGACCAATCACAGCAGAGCAGCTCTCAGAGAGGCGGAGCTTAGAGAGACTGAATCTGCACAGAAGCGTTTCAGACACTGAGAGGAAAGAGCTGAAGCTGCAGCCCAATGTCTCGACCAATAGTGTGCGTTTGGGGCGGGGCTATCTGTTTGTCCAACCAATGGCAGACGAGTGTTCTAAACGTGCTCTGCTTCGCTGGCTGGACATGGACGGCACGCTGCCGCTCTGGCATCAGCTGATGCGTTCTGATCGAGTGTATTTCTGCTCATCCAGAATAAAGATGCTTGCATGCATAATTCATCATTCCCGCTGCACATGAATAACAGTGTGTGCATGTGTTGTTGATCAGGAATATTCCCTGTGATAAGCTGAGGGATCAGGGTTTCAGGTCTAACAGCAGAGAGGTGCGATCGAGGCCTTAGACTGGATCAGGATGGAGGGGCGTTAGCCGCCGCACATTAGCAACTGAATGATTTATGCAAATGAAGCCCCTCAGCTACTTTTCATTAAGTTATATTAGAAGCGCAGGGCGTCTCGTCTCCTGAAGAGAATGAAAGAGAACAAAAGTGGAGCTCCCCGTCTGCTCTCCTCCATCATAATGAAAGATTATATTCAGAAACGCTTCCTGCATCATCCAGGAGAATTATGATCATAACGGCTCTGGATCTCGTGTCTGCGGGGAAGCTTTACACACACGCTCGCTCTCTTTACTACAGCCTTTGCCAAACGAAACCCTACACCTCAAATATTTACTAGAAGGTGATATTTCCATTATTTAACAACATTTATGTGTTCATGGTTCTCTGATGATGGTTAATGGCCACATCACATGCAAGTGAACATGAAATATTAGATTTTGTTAAAAGTGTTTTATTCTGAATTTGTAGCTGGATTTTAAAGTCGACTCAATCTCACTCCACATTGCATTCATGTATTTATTTATTTATTTATTTTATTTATTTATTGTTTACATTTATTATTATTAATTTATGTATAAATATATATTTAAAATGTGTATTATTACTACTACTAATAATAATAATTGTAAAAATTAAATAAATTAATACATGAAATAATATTATTATTATTATTAATAATAAAAACATTGATAAAAATGGTAATAATAATAATAATAATAATAATTAAAAAAATGAATAAATATAATAATAATAATATTTTATTATTATTATTTCCTGTATTAATTTATTAAATTTAAAAAAATGTTTTATTATTCTTCAAATAAATGAGCAAATTAATTATTATCATTAATACAAAGATTTTTTTTAATATTAAGAATAAATGAATAATATTTAATTTATTCATTTGTTATTTATTTTTTAATTATTATTATTGTTATTATTGTTTTAACTCTAATTATAAAAATTAAGAATAAAATAAAATTATATTAATAATTTTATTTCAAACTACGAGTTACAATACAAATGTACATCTTAAACAATTCACTTTTAAACCCTCAAATTTTAATATTTCAAATCCTCAAGCTGTTATTGTGCTGGAAAACTGGTGAAATTCTATAATACTGTCCACACAAATATTGGAAATACTGAAATGTTCACATCACCGATGAATCGTTCACAATAAGACATGATAACGGAGTCAGTTTTGATTTCATGTTAAATATTCGTAACGATGAACACTGATGATACCTGTGGGCCAATGGGACGGCACGGTGGGCGGAGCTTCTGTCTGTCAGCGGCTCCTGTAACGTGTGTTGTGTTCGTGTCGGCAGATCTTCTACAAGGCCGTCAGCTCCTTCGACCCCGAGTTCATCTTGACCAATCAGAGCGGGAAGGTCCTGAAGTCCAGCAACGAGACGACACACGTGTTCCCGGGCCTCTATCCCGGATCCACGTACTCCTTCACCATCAGAGCCAGCACTGTGAAGGGATACGGGCCGCCCGTCATCACGCAGTTCACCACCAAGATCTCACGTAAGAGCCGTGTGTGTGTGTGCGTGTGTGTGTGTGTGTGTGTGTGTGTGTGCTCATATGTCGTCTGTCACTCACACACAGCTCCGCGTATGCCGGGATATGAGCAGGAGAGTCCGCTGAACCAGAGCGACAGCACAGTGACGGTTCTGCTGAAGCCGGCCCGGAGTCGAGGAGCGCCCGTCAGGTGCACTATCATCAGCATCATCAGCATCATAAATATATATTTATTGGCATTTGCTTGAACATTACAACAATAAAATAAAACAAACAAATGAATGAATATAAAAAAATGATGATAAACACATTATAGGAAATCTAGAACCAGACTATAACATAAAATAAGAGAGTCACATGATCAATCACAGGTCGTCACAAACATAAGATAATGCTGATATACAGAAGCTGCACACACACACTGATCACCATCATGGTAACCAAAAAATACAATAAACGTTAATTTAACAACATCAAATGTAACACAGAACCCTAATGTACATAACTGATGAGAAGAAAATAAGAAAATCTATGAAGAAACAGTTATTTCAGTAAAAGTACATCAAATGTGACGTGTCACGCCAGGAATTGTGGGAATGTCAATTTACAGTTTTTGACAAGTTCTTTTTCACGTCCAAAAACTGTACGTATTTTTATTTCAGGATTCTTTGATGAATAGAAATGTACACAACTGTTTTCAACACTGATAATAATCATAACTGAGCATCAGATCCTCATATTAGAGTGATTTCTGGAGGATCATGTGACACTGAAGACTGGAGTAATGATGTTGGAAATTCAGGAATAAATGACACTTTACTGTATATTCACATAGAACATTTAAATTGTCACAATATTTAACAATATTTTTTTTTATCAAATAAACGCAGAGACTCTTTTAAAAACATTAAAAACCGATCCCAAACCTCGACAGGTAGTGTGAAAGTGTGAGAATCTCACAGTTTTTAGTGTTTGTGCGTTTGGTCCCGAAACGAGGCCGTTCTCGCCGTTTAAAGACGATCTCTCGCTCAGAAGAACATCGTCTCACTGTCAGCCGAGTGATGCTCAGGTGTACGTGCGCTTGTGATGATAATGATCCATAATTCAGCAGATCGTTCTGGTCACGGGTCGGCGTGCGAGTGAAGATAAAAGCTTCTGCAGAATGAATAAATGTAAATGTGAGTGTTATTGAAAACACTCAGCGTTGCGTTCAGATGCTGTGAAACCGGACCTGCACTTACTGTGCGTCTCTCAGACCCGAGCGGGGATCTAATGGCTCAGAACCGCTCCGGTTCTGCTTAATCTGTTCCTGCGGGGTCTAAAAGCCTGCATTAGGAGTCCGAGAGCGTGGAAGAGGAGTTCGTGAGACGTGAAGTCATGTACACTAAGTTTGGAAAGGCCTCAGTTCAGGAGAGAGAGGAAAAGTGCAGTGTAGTGTGTTCAAAGATCACCGATAATAATTAGTCTGTGTTCAGTGTGTGATGTTCATGTTCCAGTTCTTCTCTATATCAGTGTCAGTGTTTCTGAACTCCTGAAACGCCTCCATTGTAGTCTTGAGTTTCTCCCGGGAACGAACACGTCACAATATTCCTCATTATAATAATTCATACGCAGAATAAAGGGGCGGGGCCTGGTTGAGTTAGTTAGTAGTGTGTTAAACTGGCGGTTATGGAAAGGGGCGGGGCATTTCCCAAACACACTCGAAGCGCTCGACCAATCACAACACACTGCTCCAGCCGACCAATCAGAGCACAGTGTGCTTTTCAGAGGGAGGGGCTTCAGAGTGAAGTGTTGTTTATTTATGTACACACAGGCAACAGTGTGTGTGTGTGTGTGTGTGTGTGTGTGTTGTTGCATTAAGGTCCTCACACACTGAGTCCGAAATTCTCGTCTGAAATTTTTGCACGTTAAAAAATGAATACGACCTCACGATGTGTCAATCATGTTTACACACTGCCTCCGAAACCTTCGTCCGCCATTAAAAAATGCGGATCGGGTTCAATTCTCTTCGTTTCTCGCATCCGTAACGAGCATTCTGCCGATTTAGAGCCATCGAGTGACGGATACGACAAAACACACACGAAAATGTCGTAGTCAGTGTGTGAGGACCTTTAGTGTAAACACCAGAGGTCTGTCAGTCCTGTTTAAACCGGTTCAATCAAGCCTAATCAGTCACATGATCACTGGATCGAGCCTAATCAGTCACGTGATCGCTGGATCGGGCGTAATCAGTCACGTGATCACTGGATCGAGCGTAATCAGTCACGTGATCACTGGATCGGGCGTAATCAGTCACGTGATCACTGGATCGAGCGTACTCAGTCACGTGATCACTGGATCGAGCGTAATCAGTCACGTGATCACTGGATCGGGCGTAATCATTCACGTGATCACTGGATCGGGCGTAATCAGTCACGTGATCACTGGATCGAGCGTAATCAGTCACGTGATCACTGGATCGGGCGTAATCAGTCACGTGATCGCTGGATCGGGCGTAATCAGTCACGTGATCGCTGGATCGGGCGTAATCAGTCACGTGATCACTGGATCGAGCGTAATCAGTCACGTGATCACTGGATCGAGCGTAATCAGTCACGTGATCACTGGATCGGGCGTAATCAGTCACGTGATCGCTGGATCGGGCGTAATCAGTCACGTGATCGCTGGATCGGGCGTAATCAGTCACGTGATCGCTGGATCGAGCGTAATCAGTCACGTGATCACTAGACTGGATCGAGCGTAATCAGTCACGTGATCACTGGATCGGGCCTAATCAGTCACGTGATCACTGGATCGGGCCTAATCAGTCACGTGATCGCTGGATCGGGCGTAATCAGTCACGTGATCACTGTATCGGGCGTAATCAGTCACGTGATCGCTGGATCGGGCGTAATCAGTCACGTGATCGCTGGATCGGGCGTAATCAGTCACGTGATCGCTGGATCGGGCGTAATCAGTCACGTGATCACTGGATCGGGCGTAATCAGTCACGTGATCACTGGATCGGGCGTAATCAGTCACGTGATCACTGGATCGGGCGTAATCAGTCACGTGATCACTGGATCGAGCGTAATCAGTCACGTGATCACTGGATCGGGCGTAATCAGTCACGTGATCGCTGGATCGAGCGTAATCAGTCACGTGATCGCTGGATCGAGCGTAATCAGTCATGTGATCGCTGGATCGAGCGTAATCAGTCACGTGATCACTGGATCGGGCGTAATCAGTCACGTGATCACTGGATCGAGCGTAATCAGTCACGTGATCACTGGATCGAGCGTAATCAGTCACATGATCACTGGATCGGGCGTAATCAGTCACGTGATCGCTGGATCGGGCGTAATCAGTCACGTGATCGCTGGATCGGGCGTAATCAGTCACTTGATCACTAGACTGGATCGAGCGTAATCAGTCACGTGATCACTGGATCGGGCGTAATCAGTCACGTGATCACTGGATCGGGCGTAATCAGTCACGTGATCACTGGATCGGGCGTAATCAGTCACGTGATCACTGGATCGGGCGTAATCAGTCACGTGATCGCTGGATCGGGCGTAATCAGTCACGTGATCACTGGATCGGGCGTAATCAGTCACGTGATCACTAGACTGGATCAAGCGTAATCAGTCACGTGATCACTGGATCGAGCGTAATCAGTCACGTGATCGCTGGATCGAGCGTAATCAGTCACGTGATCACTGGATCGGGCGTAATCAGTCACGTGATCACTGGATCGAGCGTAATCAGTCACGTGATCGCTGGATCGAGCGTAATCAGTCACATGATCACTGGATCGGGCGTAATCAGTCACGTGATCGCTGGATCGGGCGTAATCAGTCACGTGATCGCTGGATCGGGCGTAATCAGTCACGTGATCACTAGACTGGATCGAGCGTAATCAGTCACGTGATCACTGGATCGGGCGTAATCAGTCACGTGATCACTGGATCGGGCGTAATCAGTCACGTGATCACTGGATCGGGCGTAATCAGTCACGTGATCACTGGATCGGGCGTAATCAGTCACGTGATCACTGGATCGGGCGTAATCAGTCACGTGATCACTGGATCGGGCGTAATCAGTCACGTGATCACTGGATCGGGCGTAATCAGTCACGTGATCACTGGATCGAGCGTAATCAGTCACGTGATCGCTGGATCGGGCGTAATCAGTCACGTGATCACTGGATCGAGCGTAATCAGTCACGTGATCACTGGATCGGGCGTAATCAGTCACGTGATCGCTGGATCGGGCGTAATCAGTCACGTGATCGCTGGATCGAGCGTAATCAGTCACGTGATCGCTGGATCGGGCGTAATCAGTCACGTGATCGCTGGATCGAGCGTAATCAGTCACGTGATCACTGGATCGGGCGTAATCAGTCACGTGATCGCTGGATCGGGCGTAATCAGTCACGTGATCGCTGGATCGAGCGTAATCAGTCACGTGATCGCTGGATCGGGCGTAATCAGTCACGTGATCGCTGGATCGGGCGTAATCAGTCACGTGATCACTGGATCGGGCGTAATCAGTCACGTGATCACTGGATCGAGCGTAATCAGTCACGTGATCACTGGATCGGGCGTAATCAGTCACGTGATCACTGGATCGAGCGTAATCAGTCACGTGATCACTGGATCGGGCGTAATCAGTCACGTGATCACTGGATCGGGCGTAATCAGTCACGTGATCGCTAGATCGGGCGTAATCAGTCACGTGATCGCTGGATCGGGCGTAATCAGTCACGTGATCACTGGATCGGGCGTAATCAGTCACGTGATCACTGGACCGGGCGTAATCAGTCACGTGATCACTGGATCGGGCGTAATCAGTCACGTGATCACTGGATCGGGCGTAATCAGTCACGTGATCACTGGATCGGGCGTAATCAGTCACGTGATCACTGGATCGAGCGTAATCAGTCACGTGATCACTGGATCGGGCGTAATCAGTCACGTGATCACTGGATCGAGCGTAATCACCTAATCAGTCACGTGATCACTGGATCGAGCGTAATCAGTCACATGATCACTGGATCGGGCGTAATCAGTCACGTGATCACTGGATCGGGCGTAATCAGTCACGTGATCACTGGATCGGGCGTAATCAGTCACGTGATCACTGGATCGGGCGTAATCAGTCACGTGATCACTGGATCGAGCGTAATCAGTCACGTGATCACTGGATCGG